CAGCTACTACCAGTGGCATTTTAGTGGTGTCAGCTAAGCAGATGGCAGTCCCTTAGCCATCATCAATCAGGGAACCATTGCCAGCACTTTCTTCAACAAGTTGTTAAAAACAATTTACAGTTTTCACAAACAAAATGTTTGACACAACAATCAGAACACATCAAAGACTACCAGTAGCCACCTGCTTAAACTAAACTTCAGAGGAACAGTGGTTTTGAACAGCACAAATTGTTTCCAAAACGTGGAGAACTTCTTCAATTAGTTTTAAAATAATTATTTATGTTGTTCTAATTATCTGATAAAGGATGTTATTATTGTAGTGAGTTCTTCACTGCATTGTTTCATAATTTAAATCCACATAAGCACAACTTGTCAATGAGTATTCCTTCATACATGTATAACTTAACCAGTCGTAGTTATTAACTAACGGACAAGGTGTACAACACTTGCCAAAAGTTCAACACAAGGAGGCTCTGATGCAAGGTCCAACCCCTCACCCTGTATTATACTAAGTTAAACAACAATATAAAAGAGCTTGCAGACAAGTTTCAAACCATACAGCAGACAGATTGATGGAAGACCTCAGAGAATCCCTTGTTGCTGCAAACAAAAAAATTGCAGAGTTGCAGGTGAAGCAACATAGCAAGCCAGCACAGGGCAGCTATAGTCAGCCATAGCCTTGGAACAATCCAGCTAAGATACCATAAAGTACAAAAAGTCCAGCAAAAATGAAGAATGATGTTAGAGAAGAACCACCATGAAGTTGTAGCAACAGCAGAGCTGTAAGTTGTCAACAAGCATAGGCATAAATATTCCAACAATGGATTGCCTGCCCTTGAAGTTTGATTCATCAATCTATGGGTAGCTTTACCCACATTTACTCTCTGAATCACAACAGCTCCTTTAGGAGCCCAGCAACACCTTTATAAAAGTTGGTTACCCAAAAAAGAACAAGTGTATACCATATACATACATACATTAAAAAGTAATTTGGAATGGCAAGTACATTTCCTTTGCAAGGCCTGGGACTTAATGTGTGTGAAAAAAAAAACATATTTGATGATCCGATATATTAATAATAATAATAATAATAATAATTTAATAACTTCTAAAGCGCTATTTACATTCACTGATCAACAGCGCTTAACAACTTAAAAAAACCACAATACAATTCAAATTTGTAAAACTAATTACATGTACATGAATATTAACAATGTATATTAATAATAATAATATAGAATGTTTATAATAATGATAATAAATTTAATTAGTAATATGTCAAACAGGTTACATTGTAAAAGCTGCATGAAATAAATAAGTTTTCAGCTTGCATTTAAAAACAGCTAATGATTGAATATCACGTAATTCAGCCAGCAAACTATTCCATAAATATGGGGCAGCAGTACAGAATGATCTGTCACCTAACGTGACAAGCATTTTCCCTTTAGGAGGGTCTAGCCATAAACTTTGATTTGATCTACGATTATATATAGACCTAGGCTTAATGTTTCTTAGTTCTATGATATACTTAGGTGCTAGTCCATGAATAGCTTTAAATTTTAAAATTAAGATCTCAAAATGAACACGATGTTGTACTGGTAACCAGTGAAGTTGATAAAGCACGGGAGAAATATACTTAAGCTCAGTACTTACTTAAGCTCAGTACAATAATATCTAAAAGAAAAAGTATGTTGCTAAGATTTGATGCGGCATTTTGGGAATGCCCCATTGTTGTGAATCATTTATAGTTCCCAAGCGATTATTTACTATAACTTTAAAGTTTAATAACATGGTATGTAGAAACATAGCGTGTGGTTGGGTGGACTGAATGTAAAGATGTTGACAAGATGGCCAGATGTAGGTTCAACAAAATGACAGCCACAATGATTGTCCTTGCAACTGGCCTGGCCAAACAGTACCAGGACTTTTAGGAAGTGTCAATACTAGGAACTGAAGGTTAAAAATGTTAAAAAGCTTGATCAGTGTAGAAAATGACTTGGTTTACTACTACTATATTTTGACGAAGCTTTGCTACCAGGAATACCCAGACAGTACTTGTGGGTTTGCACAGCTACATGTAAAACATAATTTGCTGTTTTGATACTTTTTTAAGTCCATGGTAGTTGTAACCTCTATTTGCTTATGAAATAAGAACTGGTAGATTTTTATTATATTTTGAATAATCTCGCCTTCCATTTTCCATTTTTTTGCAAATTTTCTCATTAAGTAAGTGAAAACTTATATCACACTTGGGCAGCTGTGGTAAAGTTAATTAACTACAAGTGCAAGTATGTTGTGGATGGAGCAAAACCAGCTTCAAGGATTCTGGATCAAGTTCAAGTGCTTGATCCAAAAATACATTATTGTTATGGATCCTGACTTCAGTTCCAGTTAACCCATTATCCCCTAAATTTTTATTGTTAAATTAAGAAGCGTTGGCTTGCTGAACACAGTGGAACAAGGAAAGTAAAAATTTTGTCAAAATAAATGTTTTAAAAGAGAGTGTTTGATAACACATCTATCTATCAATTTTTTGCTCGTCAAAATGTAAGAAAGCAAAAACCAGATGAAACATTTACAAACTGTACTTCATTATGCTAACAGGATGGGACAGTCCAGATAATTTTGTGAAAACAGTAACCATCAAGTGGTTAGCAGTGTATGATGGTGAGGTTGATGATCCCACTTCCCAGCTGCGGTTCATCATGGTTGACAAGGTTATACTCTTCTTGCCAAATGGAGAGAACAACATGATGAAAAGAATGGCAAAATGCAGCTGAAGTTTGTTCGTCCTGGCAAAACAGTCTACAGAACCGAGAAGTCTGTAGCCAAAACACTGACTGCTAGGAATTTGGAGTTGTTTTTATGAGGCTTTGGTTTCAAGTGAGGAGACTGAAGATTCAGAGGATACGGAGTAGCTGCCAGATATCGAGGAGTCGCCCCCAGACAAACTTGGTTGTTCAGGAAAGAAGAGAAAGTGGAGCAACAAGGAGGAGAATAATTCCCCTTCGCAAGCAGCCGGGAAGAAAGCAAAGTTGGACGTAGAGTGCCATTTATTTGTCTGTGAGACTACTCAGCTAACAGATTTTGTCGATAAGATCAATGAAACTTCATGTTGTTCTACTCCTGATTGCAATGGTATGTATTGATCTGCTGATTATTTTTTGTCTGTTTTTTTTTCAACGCAGGTATTTGTTTGCTGTGCTCTAGTTATTCTTTGCTCAGTGTTGACATGCATGTTTCGACTCTTTTCTTATAAACTTGTGGTGTGAAATAGTATGAGATTGCTGCATGCATAATTTTTTTTTTCTAATTTTCACACCTACTTGCATGTACCTTGCAGTTACATTTATGTTTTTGTTTGTTTTATGCCTTGCAGACTGCATTATATGGCTTCTACAAATGCTGGCTTCTGTCAAGCAAATATGACATGGTGTCATGCACTACATGGACCAAATTATCACTGGGTCATAGACTTGTATGAGAGGATAAAGCTTCAATAAGTGTCAAAGCTAACCAAAATATGTGTTAGCAGCTATCTGACACTATTTATTGGGACTTGAGCACAGGCCAGACGAAGTAGGCACCAGTTAATTTAGGTAAAGATAATGTTTGAATATATGATTATAATATTACCCAAGCTTCAGTGCCTTTTCCCCTGTTATGAAACCACTGCTTATAGGAAGTATGTTGTGTAGGAAATTATTGCTTTCCTTTGAGTCAGGCACCTTTATTGTTCAAATTGTTGCTTTTGACCAAATGTATAGCCATATGTTTTTCATCTGTTTACAATGTAGCCAAGTACAGACATCTGATTTGGCCAAAAAAGAATCTTACTGTTAACATGGCTCTCAGGAGAATGTAAGTAACAGACCTGTTACCAGTCTGGATGTAAAACATCAATCTTGTGGTGAATTTGTCATATACATAAGAAGCAGCAAATTTTTAACTGAGTGCAAATGTTAAAATTCTAGCAAGTATAATTCTTTGATGAAACCACAAAATAATGCTTTTCTATGGACCTTGAGAAACTGAAATCTCCTTAAAAATGGAAATGCCAAAGTTCCCTGGCATACATAAGGGCTGAAACTTGGTCTTGTGCAGATGAAATCTTTATATTACATTGAAAATTTCAGTTTACTTGTTCAAAGGAATAAGTGGTTTAAGGTAAAGTTCTAATAATTTTCAATTATCAAGACAATTCTAAATAGCAAATGCGCATGGCAACAAAAGAAATCAGACTTTCCTGCTGCAACAACCATGAAATGAACTTGTTTTGTTAGGTAAAAATGCAACTTTTATTCATCTGGGACACGTATGTAGAAATAGAAATTATATTGTGTATAATGCTCTTGATGATTCTAAGTATTGTGGAATTACATAAATGCAAAACTTTTTAGAAACCACAACTTTATAAATATTGTCATTCTGGATACAAATGTAGCATGGTATAAAATTAACATTTTCAGAAGCTTGTACATGTTTTGAAATGCTTTTCTTTATTATCTGACGAAATTATAAATAATTTGGCTTTGACAACCTATAATTTGACTTTCTATTGTTTTTATTTTTGTATAATTTGCAAATAATACCTTATGTAAATAAGTATTTTTGATTCAGAAATTTTGTCACAATGGAATGTATATAAAAAGATGTGGACAATTCATCATAAAAAAATTAATTGTTCAAATAAAGTCTTTATTATTATATTAGTTGGACTGTCTTCCTTTGGGCTTGGCTGCAGGCCACTTTGAAGAAGCAAGGTAACCTATGTTGACCAGATAAACCTACCACTCAAATAATACGGCCACAATTATTATTATAATAATTATTAGGAGCTCCCAAACCTTTTGTCAGATCTGCTATAAATATGGTTAACCTGAGTGGTGCAGGGAAGGGATGATGTTGTGAAAATTCACATCTCAATAAGATACATTACATATGGCAGAGTGTAAGAATTGGAGGTTTTATCATATTTATTCAAACAAGCACTTATCTCCAACACACATCCATGGCCCACTCTGAAAGCCAAAATAATAATAGCAAAACTAAAAACTTGTTATTGTTTAATCTGTTATTATCTCAAATATTATCACTTGCTGAAAATATTGAAAACATTTTAAGCACCCACCCTCAAGGTCTCCATTTTAACTTACCCCTGAATGGGTTGGGTCTGGCCGTTCGACCAGGTTGCCAGGAATAATCTCCCTGACCACTCTCTTCAGGGAGGAAGGAAACACGTACGTTGGTTGGCATCCAACCGATGCCCCAAGGGTCTTTCCACTTCCATGCTAAAATCAGGTAAACATAACGTGTCACTTTTACAGATATATCCTCACTGAAAAAGCTTTTCAGAAACATTTCGTTTTAGACAGAGATACAGGAGGCAGCTTGCAAACTTTGTTGTGCTCATACCCTTCTACCAGGGAGAAAAGTCTGAGAGGAACTATTTCTTGAATAAAGGAGGATCAGTTTTGGGAAAACTGCAGTAATAATCAAAACACACATGCTACTGTTTTGCAATGATAGCCGACTCGACCACATTCTCTTAGAGTTCAGAAAACACACTATTAATAAACAAAATAAAATAATGGCTTATTTCAAGGGAAATAAAATGGCAGTGAAGAACTTCATGCTTGTAATTTTCCAACTTACCCATAACAGACACCACAAATACTTGTAAAGCCTGGCACGGCATTTCTCCGCACTTTCCACGGCTTTGATTTGGAAATTTTCTAAAAGCCTTATTAGGCTATTTGGTACAGGGAATCTGTAGAAATAAAGATTTTTCCATCTGAATAATGAAAATAATTACTAAACTCGAATAAAACACACACAAAACTTACCCGTTGCAAACAAATTCGGCTTTAAAATTCTCGAATGCTGCTTCCCTGGCCGCCATCTTGATCGATCTTGATCTTCAAACGTGGAGCAGAGAGGGAAACTGCTGGCTAAAATTATGCATACTCAACTTTTTCCTAGTAACCTAATTGTTCAGGAAGGTGGGGGGTTGGGGGCCATTAGCAAGTAGTAGTGAAAGGGTTAAAAGAATTAAAAATGGGTTCCATGAATTTTCACAGAACCAAAAAATTGTTACTGATCCTTTCCCATGATCTCTGGGCATAGAACCAAAAAATTGTTTTCCATGGGATTTGATATCCTACATGTAGGGCTTGCCGCAGACTATTCTTGGTCAGCAGCACTTTATAAACTGTGTAGTGCAGTTTTTCCAAAATCTGTTCGTCTGATGTCACAGTAATCACGTGAATGGAAATGCAATTGATGCAACAATGTTAATATTTTGTTTGATTCTGACTCTCACATAGTAAATATAGGTATACACATAACCTACTAATTGCAAGACTTTTTGATTCGCCTTGCCAGCTGGAAATCTATTTACCAAGGAAAATGAAAGTACTGTAGAGCCTAATCTCAGCTTAGTGCAGGACGGGTCTCTGGTAAGGTGCGAGTGATTGCAAAGTCTATGAATCCATCTAAGTTAATTCAAGTTACACTACAGTGCATAGTTTTTATATTTCCATACGTTTCCAAGCATGTTACGCTGCTTGTCACCTGAAAGCTTCACTAACATTTTTCATGATTTTCTATAACATTTCAACGACCTGTGGTCAATAAACACCAATTGAATATCCAATTGAATAATAACACTTCAAGTAGTAATGACTGTATACTTTCCACGATGAACATTGCCTATGTCATGCACTGCTCTTTTCATTGTACCTTTGCTTGTAAATTCAGCCGTCTCTCCTCTCTTCTCAACATTTGCCGGCTAATTGAACCTAAGCCACTGTAAATAAAGTTATAAATCAATATGAACATGTTCACCCCATTGTTCAAATTATTATTCAGTTTCCATACTCATGATCCGCCGTGATTCCTTTTGTTGACACTGGAACTAAGAGGGCTTTCTCTGATTCACGTAGACAATTATGAAAGTGGTTCTCAACATCAATTGCACCTTCAACATAAACGTACACGTTTGCCCACACTTCTTAACCTTTGGTTACTGCTAATATTATAGTATTGTTTGTTTAGATTTCTTTCGCCCCAGGGTGGGGCTTTTTTGACACTTTTGATTGACATTAGTCACTCACCCTGGGGAATTTGATAAAAAAAAATTAAGAATTGTCAAATCCCCGCCCCTTGCCCACATTTGCCCCCCTCCACCATCCCCTGTTGGGATTTGCATTGATTCACTGTAGGTGCATAACACAATCTAAAACAAAGGGGGAATTTCATATAATCCATGATACTTTGCAGCTAATTTCTGTCTTCTCGCCGCGGTGGAAAGAGCGTTTGAGGGTTTCGATGGAGATTTTCAACTACCTGAATTTCAAGATGCAGCTCATCCAAGGTAAGTTTCAATGAGTCCTGTTAATCTTTGGTATCTGATTGATAATTTAAAATGTTTCCAACGTCATTTCACGCATTATTGCTCTTGTTTACGACCCTGTTAAGCCATGCTGTTCTAACTCACAAGTGAATATTTATTTAGATGACTTTCAATTATCAAAAACTGTCTTTATTCTAGAAAGGTTTTGCCCCAATAAATTATTGAAATCAGCGGACAAGGGGTACTTGATACTAGTTCCACGCTCCGAACTCTTTCGACTTTCGACCTCGCGATTTTTATGGGTTGGATCATTTTGAAATATCGCATTTTCTGCCCTTTCTCCACTAAGATGCAAGGTGAAGGTTCCAATTTCGTTATGCTAAGTCCTGTGAAGATGGGACATTTTTTCTTGAATTCGCTCTTTTTTCACTGATCAAAACTCAAGTATTATCTCTTGAGGGTATGATGAGTGTTTAAATTCACTGGTTTATAGTATTACAGCTTTTTTGTCTCATTACTTTAGGTAAAATTTGTTTCTCATGCTGGCTTATGGTCGCAACCGCGCGAGGCGAACTTGAAATATACAGGCCAGCAAATGTCATGGAATAGCACGCCATAGGTCCTTAACCGGCGTATAAAACCTTTAAAGACATTTTGATAATTCTTTTAGGATTCATTGTAAAGAGGAAGTGGGTGTTTTTGTATATATATTTTGCCATTGCTTAATAAAGCTTTTTTCTGTTCATGTTTGACGAATGCTTAGCTGGTGTTTTGTTACGAAAAATATAGTGATGTCTTTGTTATTTTTATTGTTTGTTGGAGCTATTCCCTTCCTTTGAATTTTATCTCCGATAGACGTCACTTTGTACTTTAACGGTCTCGCTATTTTCGACTGCATAAGCCGAGCTTGTTAAAGTAAAATTAATGCATGTGCAGTCAACCAACGGTTGATGTACTGTATCGATGAATTATTGAAATGACAATATGAGCACCGCGATCACAAACAAGCAACGAAGAGAAATCTCACACCTAGAATATGTATTTATTTCAAGACAAGTACATGGAAATCACTTGTAAATCCATGGAGAGCTTTATCAACACACGTTAATACAGGATGTACTAAAGCAAAGACCTTCCTCGCTAGCTTCTAAGAACATTTGCGTGGACGGCCTTGCGATCGTAAGGCTAGTTACAGTAGTTAACTAATAATCGGCAGCCAAACACTCTCTTTGACTTAACCCTTTCACTACTACAGGCTTTTGGCCCCCAACCCCCCATCTTCCTGAACAATTATCAAGGAGCTAAGATGGCTGTGATACTTAATCAAAACATGCATGCTCAGTAGATTTCAGAGCCTTGTTTCACACAATTAACTACACAGACATGAAGCCAAGAAGTCATTGTATAAGTCTAAACAATTAATAAAGATAACTATCCCTGCATTCACAAGATATTTAAGATAAAATCGCAAGTAACGAAAAAAAATTCAAATTTGCCGCCATTTGCAGTTCCTATTGTCAGACTTTGAATGAGAATTTCTTTGTAATCCATCACAATATGGCTTACTTTTTTACAGCAAAACAAGGGAAATTGTTAGAATATAACAAATATGCCAGATTTGTGTTC